AAGAAAGAAAGAAAGAAAGAAAGAAAGAAAGAAAGAAAGAAAGAAAGGAAGAAAAAGTCACTGCCAACTGCAAGGTTTTGGAGTAACAAAATTTATCAAGAAATTTGTTTGTTGATATAAGAATGACCATTGAATTAGAGCTCACTATTTAGAAAAAGTGAGGAAGTGAACTATACAGGTACACACACTAGTGTCTGACTCTGATAAATACATAAATATTTCAGTAGAGCTGCTTCCTAAGCTGTTCTAACTTTGTTCACTCAGCACGCGAAACGGGTATCTCCTAGAGCAAACGCACTGTAAATTACTGCTGAGTCCTACATTTTGTGTAATGTACATGCCTGACTACTAAAAAGTGAAATATAAACCAAATTTTGAAAAAAATCAAACAGGGACCTAACGCTGAGGATAAGGCAGCTGCTAGCTATGAAGACTGCGGGGCAGGATGCCAGTGACCATAAGGGACAAAAGAGCCGCAGCCAGTGTGGATTGCTGAGAGCAATGGGACGGTTCGGCTGTGCTGCATCCTACCAACATCTAAGCCCCATTCTGCCTGTCTCTGTGAAACCAGTCATGTACCTGGCTCAAGTGCACTGTGTCTCTCTAAGAGCCATGGGTGGCTTTAAATGAATGACCCTCATTGCGGTGGCACTCAGGAAGAGTTTGTTCCTCAAATCCAAGCAAAAAGGCAGGGTCTTTTTAAAGTGGTGGTGAGTGCAGTGGGTTCACAAGCAGCACGTCCAGTAGCCGCCCCAAAAAAACTAAGCCAGTTTAGAGCGTTGTGGCCACCAGCACTGTCTCTATGACTCACCTCAGGGACCATGCCCTATATGGAAGTTTTTTAAAGCAAAGGAACCATCTAGATTTCTGATTGGTGATATGAAGGGGTGTTGTGTAGCACTCTCCTCTGAGATGAAAACCCCCTCCATCCTGCAAGGAAGCTCCGCAGGCTCAAGGAGAAAAAAAAAATTCAAAAGAGCTCCTGAAGTACTTGAATCGGACTAGATTTACTAGGCTCCTCTCTCTCCCAGCTTATATGAACAGTAAAGACCATTGAGAATCACTATCAGATACTCAGACCAGCAAACTCCCTGGAAAAAGAAAATAACGATCATCCAAGGTGTCTGGAAGACCCTCAGGCAAACTGCGCTACTGGCACAGGACACTCCAACCCACTGAGCTGCCTGGAGGCTTATAGGGTTCCAGTGTTCATGGGCTGTTTGTCACCTATGCTGGGGTGGGCTTTTGGTGAGGTGGCTGTGTTTTGAGACATTCCTGCTCACCCCTAAAACTCACTGGTCCCCTGATTTGGATGTTGGGGTTATCCGTTATCCAAGCTTCGATCTGCCACTGTTTTTCTACATGGGAAGAGGACACTTTTCACCTCTCCAGAAACACTGCCTATGACAAGGGTCAGAGATGCTCCTTTAGAGTTAGAGTCAAGCTCAGAAACGTGTCCGTCATATGTAATACTGAGATGCGCTCTTCTGTGCTGCCATGCCCCTGCTCACTGGCACACAATGGCTGCCAAGTTCTCACTTTCAAGTCTGATTTGGCTAGCTGATTCTGAAACAGATCTACAGGAACAGTGGCAATGAGGGGCACTAGCCAGTCCCAGTCCTTGGATATTCTAAAACTACCTGTGCAGGAGTTAGTTTCTCCTGGGGTAATTCTCTCTAACTGCGACATAAGCCATGTGATGAAGAATGGGGATGGCTGGTCTGTTGCCATCATGTCGTGAGCCTATGCATTGGTAGTCACCTCTTTTATTTTTTTAGTCAAAAAGCTTTAAGCATTCCACACATGCTTGCTTGCAGTCTCGCAATGGTTCTTGGTATGTTGCTCTCACTCTGAAATGCCCAACTACATGCCATAAACATATTTTCAGGCTTTCAATTCAATGTTTTTCAATTTTTTTTTTCTAGTGATTCATATATATATAGAGCTTGTAAATAGCAGGCAAGAAATTATATCTAAATAAATACACACAATATATATGTGTGTTTCTGTTATCATTTCAGAATACCTGAGATGTTGTGGCAGACCTGGTTCTCCTGCAAAATTGATTTGAATCAGAAAATTTGTACCTGCCCTTATCCCACACTGAATGGTAAAGGCTTTAAAAACAAACGACTCTTGTGTCACAGACATAATGACTGCAGGTTCCCTATAAAAAAACAAGCTCTGATTTAGGGAGTACAGTTGATTCCCAGTAGTCTTTCTTATGTGCTCATATTGTTATTATAATTTTCTGACATCATAAGGTTAAAATCTTATCGTAAGAAAAATACAATATAATTTAAATGTTATATTTTGCCATAGAAAGCACAAGTTAAAATCATCTCCCTTAAAATGGCAATTAAGGCTACAAATTTAAACTCAGAAAGAAAAAGAATATATAAAAGTTATGATCATCAAAGGGATATTAACTCACTTTAGATTTTGTTATAAGTATCTGAAGATTTTACTGCATTTAAATAAAAAGTCACCCACTTCTACAATGAGCAGGGATTATTCTGGAAACACGACCTTCAGTTCCCGATAAAAGTGCTCAAATTTGCAACCTTAATGCTACATACATTTATATTTAAGCAGTCAGAACACATAAGCAGAACAGTCACTGTCCTAGTCTACCGCAGTATCTAAAAAGCAACCATCCTGTACCTTTTCTTCTTGCCTTTCAACTGACCGAAGGAGTCTCTCTCCACTCTGGTATCAGACAAGTTGATTTGAAAAGTTAATTTAAGATAGTCTCAAATTGTCAACAAAAGTGGACTAAACTCTTAACTTACATATTGTATGTTTACCTAGCAAATCATCATAGTCTGAGTTCACTTTGCTTTAACTGAACACAGTAACATGTGCAATTAGTGTGGCTTTATGAGCTTCAAGGGGACATAAGCCATGGAGGAAGGGTGAGAGCAAAGGCAGCAGCCAGCCATCAGTTGAGGGCAATTCTCATGGCAGCTATGCTGAACTTCACTCTTGATCAGATATGGAAGCCTGGCGACAAAAGGATGCATTCCAGATAGACAGGGAAAAATGAGAGGGGACAGCTGACCATGGCCAGAGACACTTAATCCCACTGCATCCGAGTCACGTGACCGCTGCAGGTCCCACACTGCACCGGAGTTGTGTGAATGCTGCGGGTCACATACTGTTCTTAGCATTCACGGGAGCAACAAAATCAGCGGTGTCAGCTCTCAAGTCCAGACACTGGCTGATTGGAAGTCTAACAAAAATAGAATATGCATCAGAATTCAAGGCATCAGAGTCAGCTCCAGAGCACCAGCCTGCTACAGATGTCTTAGCTGTGGTTTACAGGTTTATGTGGCGTAAAGCCAGGAAAGCTCAGTAAGGGACAACGAATACTTCTGAATGCCCAAACTAAAGGCAGGTACACTTGGGAGTGTTTGAGTTGTTTGCCTAAAAACACTAAAAAGAATATATACATATGTATATATATATAAATACATATATATAAAGCAGATCACATTTCATTATCTGAGACTAAGAAATGAGGTTCAGGAATGAAGGTGAAATTTCTTTGAAAGTCTTCCGTAAACAGTATGCAAATTTTACTGATTATAATAATTCCACTTTTTGTATTAATCTTTAGAAAAGTTCATCTAAGAGCACATGGAAATACTGATTTGCTTCAATTGCTTTGAACTTTCGAGTTTCTTGCCCCATGGTGAAGCATCTGCTCTACTTCATGAACATAGCAAATGGCTTCTTTTTAAGGGAGACTGTCAAAAATCATATAGCTGGGGGCAGGTGTGGCTCGGGCAAGGCACTGCTGACCTAGAGCTTTCCTCTCTGTCTACACATGTTCATAACAATGACGATGACGCAGAAAGCCCACATTTGAGGTTGGCAGATTAAATGCCAAATGGTGCGTCCAAATCCACACTTACTAGAAAAAACAAACAAACAATTTTAAGGCAGTAGAGTCCTGAACATAAAGATCTCTTTTAATATATGGGTTTCTCACTGGAAGTGTTTTGAGGCAATGCACTGGGAGTCATTGGGTATTAAATTATAGACATGACAGGTTTTAGTTTTCAGCTCCTGCCTCCTCAGGGGTGTGCATACAAAGACCAGAGGGACAGACAAAGAGCTCCACAAGAGGAATATGGAACATGAACCAACTAATTAAAATGGAGCCTTCAGAGGTGTCTTCTTTTGCTTATAAAAATAAACTCTCTACCTTCTAACACACAAAGCCATCTCCTTCCTCAATTTGTAACTCAAACTGCAAGAATTCACATGCCTTCACCTTCTTTAATTGCCACCTCTCCAGTTATATTTTCTCATTTTTAGAGACATTAATAGATCTCTGCCCTCAGATGGAAAAGGCACTAAACTCATTTTCTCAGTTATATATCTGAAATTCTTTGTGGAGGCTGAAAAAAACTAAGATCAACTTACCAACAAATTTCATATAAACTAGTCCAAGTAATTCTGCTAGAGCTATGATACCCAAACCTGAAATCAAAAGGGGGCCGTGCACTGGTTCACAGGCTGTGGAGACAAAGGGAGTTCTGTTAGAGATGCAAATAAAGTAAGCAAATCTTAATTTAAAGGAATCAACAATAATGGAATCGATAAAGGAACCGAGGAATCAATCAAAATCAATCAATAATGTCAGATTTCTTTTTCTTTTGGTGTATTTAGTGGCCATAGGTTCCTGGCTCTTTAGATTTGCATACTAGGCAAATCATGCTACTTCTGAGCTGCACCCTTGCACATTCCAGCTTTAAGGATACTATTTTTTTATTCTAATGACCAGTAAGAACATTATCTACACATACACAGTATAAGAATATCCTTATTACTAACTCGGCAAAATAGCTTAATTATTAAAAGAAAACAGCCTTCTTTTTTCCAAGTGTACTCTTACTGTACCAAGATTAGTGAAAAACAGTGTAACATCCAAGATGCCAATCAATTAGAGCCTGGTTATTTGACAAGGTCTCCCCCAAATATGGGCACCACAGTTTGGCTATTAAGACAATCATCCCACAAGCAACAGTGTTGCCATATACAGGTAACAGGCAACATTCTTGTAGCAATGGGAAAAAATACTACTTATACTGGTCTGTTTGAGTGTGTGTGTGTGTGTGTGTGTGTGTGTGTGTGTGTGTGTTGAAAAAGAATTGCTGACAATTCCAAATGCTGAAAATATGCAGAGAAGCAAACTTTCCTTCCCTGATGGTGTTACCAAACAGAGTTCGCCAGTTTACTACAAAAAATTAACTGTACCTTACCACACAATGCAAAAATTACAGCCCTTGGTATTTAGCCAGCTAGAGCTAGAAATTTATATCCACACAAACACACTCTCATTGATGTTTACAGTAGCTTTATTCATCTGTCAGAAAAGGAGGAAAGCAACCAGGATGGCCCCTCAGTAGGTGAATGCAAAACACTAAACACATTATGACAACAATATTTTCCTGCACTAATGAGCTATCAAGCTATAAAAAGACATGGACAAAACTTAAGATTTATATTTAAAGATGAAAGAAGCCTGCACGAAAATGAAGGAAGGCACAAATATAACCTCTGTGCTGTGTGTAGATGAGATCTGGGCTTTTCTCACAAAATAAATCCAGCTCTAAGGAAAATGAAAAACTATTTAGAGTTCAAAAGTCAGTGGTGTCAGGGGTTAGGGAGAGGGACAGACGAAGAGCGTGGAAGACTACTCCACGTGATACCACAATGGGGACACATGTCACCACACATCTGTCACAGTCACGGGATGTATTACTGCACAACCGCAGCAATCACCCATGATGTAAGCTATTAATGATGACAGTGATGATGTCTCTACGTTGGTTCGTCCAGTCCACTACGCTGGTGTGAAATGCTGAGGGAAGCTGTGGGTGTATGGGGAATAGGAAAAAGGGCAGAGCATATGGTAACTCTCTACTTTCCACTAGGTTTTCCCATGAATGCATCATGGATATTCTGAAAGAAAGACCCATGTAGTTTAAAAAAAAAAAGAAGAAGAGAAAGTAAGAGTGCTAAGCTAACTGAAACTGAGAAACAGAGAAAAGAGTGACTCACCCATGATGCAGAGACACAATCCAACCAAAGCGAGGACGTAGCCCAGCACTTGGGTGATCAATATTGCAATGGTGAAAGAGGTCATTCCAAAAGCTGGGGGAGGAAAAGGACATAATGGGAACGTGTGGAGAACTCTGATGCAGCAATCACGCCTACTGGCATTCGACAGGCTCAAAGATGGGCTGTAGTTTGTCTGACGGCATGGTTTCCAGCTAACCTTCCCATACGAATGCCAGCTCCAGACTCACACGATCTGCAAGTTATTACTGTCAGTCACCTGAGAGGGACTGGCAGGTTTTACGAAAATCCTGAAACAAGGTCGTCGTTACATTTATAAGTTGTGCAGTATGGATGGCTTGTTATTCACGCCTTCCCCACAGGCACATGACTGTTTTGAGGGGGGGAAAACCCTACCACACAAACATAATCTCTACCATGTGGGTGAACAAGATCTGAGCTTTTCCAATGAACCTTTAAAGACGGCCAAAGGAGCCTAAGACCCAGTGCTAAATGAGACTCTTTAATAGCAACAAAAACATGACCTTGACCTATTTTTAAAATGAACAAAAATGATACTCATTATAGTTGGGATAGCTACACTTTTCTGTGTCTCCAGCAATAAGAAACTGTTTCTAAAACCTGTGACTTAAAAATCCCATCTCATAGAACCAGTGTTCTAATGCAAAGGTTTATTAAATCAAGAAAAAGAGTGCTTCTAATACTGACTTACGGCTACAACCTCCCCCTAAAATTAGAATATGCAAATAACCATTGAAAAAATTACACAGCACACTTTAAAATTACACCAGTGCCATCAAATATTCAAGAAAACTGCTTTCTACAGAATAATTTTTGAGGAGACCTAGCAACCTTAAAATCAAGCTGCATGGGAAATGCCAGTAAGAATACAATGGACAACATAATAAGCCAGCTTTATTAAAACCATACAAGAATATTTTCAGTAAAGCACTTTTTTTTTTTTTAAAGAAAAAGGCAGACGTCAGACTTAGGCATGCTCACCTGTCATAAACACATTGTACTGAAGTGGTATTAATATTCCTACAGAGATTACAATGAGGCCAAGTCCAGCAGCATTCTTCACAGGGTTTTCTCCTGTTAATAAAGAAATAGATTTAAGGTATTTTCTTGTGTACTTCTTTGTGAAGTTATTTACCAATTCTACTAAATGTTTTTGTCTCAGTGCTACCTTATAAACTGTGAAAGGCTTAAAATATTTTCCTCAAGTTCATACAAAATACATTATTCCTATTTTAACACTTAAGGCCAAACTAAAGACACAGCGTGTTGTGTCTCAATATGTTTGAGACCTTTATTTGGCTTTAACCTTTTAACTGCCTTATATAATTCCAAATGATAAACTCGCCATCACCTTCCACCAATCCATTCATTCCCAGTATTCAGCCAGTCCCCAAAAAGCCAAACCAACTGCTGTTCCATGTTGTTACCTGATTTCATCACCTCCTCAGGCCCTCAGCAGCCCTGGAGGCAAACACAGCTACCAAATCTGTGTTTTGAAGATATGCCTTTGCCACGGTCTCCCTAAGACAATGCAGTGGCATTCACGGTCTGCCTTGGTGAGTCCCCAGCCTTTGCTTTTCTTCCTAGTTCCACCTCTCAGCTGCAATGACCACTTCGGACAGATAGGGCTCCATGTCCACGCCCATTTCCACATCTTAGCCAGCGAGCTTTGCCTCCACAGTGGATTGAGTGAGTGGAGGCCCTGGTTATATTCCCACCTTCCTCTCCCTAGCAACCATGACTCATGTGGCAGAATAAATATTGACTGGGAAAAGATATGCTACTAAGTTAAAGATGTGGAAAGACGTTACCTGAATTGAATGAGTGGCTATCTACCTAGTAAGTGTCCTTGCCCAGAGGAGGAGGAAGGCAGGCCTCACACAGACACAGGACACAGAGGGCCGGAGGAGGCAGGATCTTCTCTACTGGCTAAGGAATTCTAAGCACTGTCTGTAGACACCAGAGGCTAAAGAATGAGGACAAGAATGCTTTCCCAGAGTTTGCAGAGGGGAATGAAGCCCTTGAGAGAGACTCTGGGTCCTTCAGAGAGTTTCTCGTGAGGCCACATCACTCGCCACAATCCGTCACAGCAGGCCCAGAAACCAATCCACAGCCCCGTGGGATGCCGCCTCCCATCAGCCCGCACCCCTGATCCCAGTATCCAGGCATCTTACCCGGAATGAGAAGAATGGCTCCGACAACAACGATGGCGGTGAGCACCACCCCAGCGGCGAGTAGCAGGATGATTTTCTTGTTTGTACGATTGGATTTATATTTAAGTGCTTAAAAGAAACACAAGGAATTACATAACTCAGTCACAAGTGATGGCGTTTTTGTAACACATCATGTGAGAGACTGACAATCCCCTGTGTGTGAGCAGCCTCCAAAGTACCACTCCTCACTACCCTCTACCCCCTGAGTTTTTATAAGTCTTGGCTGTCTACACGCAGATGCTGAAGATGTAGGCGACATTTTCTTTCCTACACTTTATACAATCAAGCTACAAATAATAGACTTTCTAAATTGAAGCATCATTAAACCCTTTCCACATTTTTTTTCCCCAAGCAGTGAATCTGTGCATAGAATATGGCAGGATCCCTGGACCCCACATTCTAGATGCCAGTAAGAGCACCCCCACCCCCATAAAAGTGTTTTCAGGCATTTCAAACACCCCAAATTCATAACACAGCAGAGCCACACACAATGCTGGTAAGACGTAACTACGTAAAGACCAACATTGAGAACAGAAATGTCCCTTTAAAAACAAAAAAACTCAGTGACATATCTAGAAATTTGGGTGATTGAAATGAGGATAGGATAAACAAGAAACAAATCACATCCATGTAAAATCCCTATGGGGAAGAATGCCTATAACTTTCAACTAACTAACAGTGAAATAAGAACACTGCCAAGGGTTCAAAGGGCTCCATGGCAGACATCACTGGTCCTGATAGAGGTTCATCCTCCCTCAGATGCTGCTTCCCTCTCTGAGACAAAAGGCAGTGATAGATCTCAGAACATTTTCTTTTGCTCTCAAATGGACTTTTTGTTTGTTATTGCTGAAATAAAGGAAGGAAGGAAATAGACCATTAAAGGCCGCCTGAGATAAGACCAAGGAGCAGAGAGCTGCAGGATGAGACTGACATGCTGCTGGTACCACCTACAAACGGATACCCTGCTTGCTGGCAGCCAGGGCGTGTGGAGTTTTGAACCAGAAACATCCCCCATCAACACTTGGTGGAGCCCTTTGGGTGAAGTAATAAACTTTCTGGGTCAAGAAGCCTCGCTGGAGGAAAAAGCAGGTTTTAAGAGTTTATATATTCTCCCATTTCCAGCTCTCTCTCTCTCTCTCTCTCTCTCTCTGTGTGTGTGTGTGTGTGTGTGTGTGTCTGTTTTCTCTCCCCCCCTCCATCTGTCCATCTCTCTGCTTTGTGTTTGAAGATGAAGATGTGATCTATCTGCTTCATAGCTGCCATGTATTTCTGCCATTATGAAACTTCCTTTTAGAACCGTAAGCCAAGATAAGTATCTCTTGCTTCTTTAAATTGCTTTTGGTCATGATATTTTATCACAGCAACAAAAAAGTAACTAATACAGGGGGGAATTATTTTAAATGCTGTATTTGCTTTTAATTTTCTTCTACTGAAATGATGAACAGATTAAATGTAACAAAATTGGAAAAGTACTTAATGGCCATAATAAAAATCTATCACAGAAGACACCTGATGACTTTTATTACTCTACTGTTCTAGTTTCTTTCCTGTTGTTGTGATAACACACTCTTCCTAAAAACAGCTCGGGAGAGGAAAGGGCTTATTTCAGCTTACTGGTTACAGTCTACCATTGAGGGAAGAACTCACGCAGGAGCTTTAATTAGAAACCATGGAGGAACTCTGTTGGCTGGCTCATGCTTAGACTGAATTTCGTATAGAGTCCAGGACCATTTATCTGTGCTGCCCTGTACACGGAAGAGCACAGGAAATGTAGTGGGCTGGGCCCTCCTACATGAGTTATCAGTCAGGTCAGTCCACCGCAGGCCAATCTGAGATTAGAAACCCCTCCACTGCCTCTTCTCAGGTGACTTTAGGCTGTGCCAAGCTGACAGTAAAAGCTCATTAGGGAAGCCTCCTCACCATTCTTTCGATTACTCAGTTCTAGTCACTTTAGGAGAAGACAGCAGTCTACAGAGCTGAGTAACTGACACTCTTAGGACCCAGGGGACATCATGTGACAAGATCCCTGGGCTTTGGCGTGCATGGTTAGATCCATCCAGCTCCCAAGCTCACAACATGACTGTCCAGTCCCACCCCTGCCTCCTCAGGAGGAGAAATTTTCACAGCTTCTCTACTTTCAAAGCTTATATACCAGCTAGAAAGAAAAGGAGCCTTGGGCCACAAAAGCCGAAGACCTATTTCACAAAGACAGAAACACATCTCTCGCTAGGCGTATAGTTTACTTTCCATTTAATCTCATATGCACTGCTACCTAGATACAGCATGAAAACTCTGCAAAAGTTGCAACATAAAAGCTGCTTCAAATGTACCACACAATCAATCAAGTGTTTATTAGAGGCACTTCCAGGTTTAATATTTAAAAAAAAAGAGCCATCAAAATAAAGCAACAAGAATTTAGAATACAGGAAAATTTCATGCAGGAACACTGAGTAATGTCATGCTTAGTAAAAATAAAAGTTTAAACACTAACATAAACTTCATTCAGGCTTAGTAGGCAGGCCATTGTAAAGGAAATAATGCCAACAACAGCAACAAAAATAACACACTACAAAATATGACACCCAAAGGTCTTTTAGGGAATCTATGTGTTGGAGGTAGCTTAGTTCTTAGTTCTTGGTGATTGGTTCAACTTCTATTTTTCAGGTTATCTATTTTTTTTTTTTTTTAATTAAACAGCTATTGTAGCAAAGGTCTCAAGTGTTCCCAGGTAACGGAAGAACATCCGTGTTTTCTTGAGCAAACATTCAGGCTCACATTCTTTGCTCACAATGGCCACATTCAGGCAGGCCTCAGGGCAGGGAGGGAAAGCACCTAGTTAGCCTAGTTATCGCTGTTCTCAGCTCCAGTGAGATTCCACAGAACCCAATCATCTCAAGAGTTTCTGTTGGTGATCTCTTCTTGTTTTCTAACCAGTGGACTTTCCCTTCACCCAATTTATCAAGCCATTAAACAGAACAGATATGACATGAATTCAAGTAATTTCCCAAACACTTAGGATAAAAATAATTTTAGTGTATTCCTACCCTACCCCCGCCAATCGGTCTTTTCAAGACAGGGTTTCTCTACGTAGTTCTGGCTGTCCAGAAAGTAGACCAAGATGGCCTCCAACTCACAGAGCTCCACCAGCCTCTGCCTCCCCAGTGCTGGGATTAAAGGTGTGCATCAAGACACCCAGATTAATTTAATCTATTCTTAACAGCAGGCTCTTAGGAAACTTCCTAATATAATTTCGTAGTGTAGCAGAATAATCCATGTGAGTTCCATAATGTGAGTGCTTTTACAGATTCCTCTCAGCCAAAACTACTGAAATCAACACTTAAAATATATAAGAAATAATAGCATTTACAGTTTTGGTTTGGTTTTGGAGACAGGGTCTCACTATGTAACCCTAGATGGCCTGGAAGTTGCTTTGCAGACTGGGTGTGCCACCATACCCCTTCTAGAATTTACATCTTTAACAAAAAGTTTCTGATACAGGAAAAGCAAGTGTCAGGGGAAACCATATGATGGGGTTTTTGTTTTGTTTTTTTTGATACAGTCTCACTATGTAGCCTGCGATGGCTTTGAATCTGCATCTTCCTGTGTCTGCCTCTCAAGTGTTGGGATCCTAGGACTGCACCACCTTGTCTGGCACAATGTGGCCGTATTCATCATAACATTAGGTATTCTTCTAACGCAAATACATGTTGTATAATATCATATGTAACATGAAACAATTAAATCTATCAGGCTACATCTCAAAAACGAGTTAGGTGGGGGCTCCTTCACAAGTTTTTACTCTGTGTGTATGCTGTAACATACCCTTTTACTAGTCCAAGTCCAGGGTCAAGTAGCAGTTCACTTTATTAAATAAGAATTGAGTAGCCAGTCCACAGAAGGCAGTGGTCTAGTCTAGTCTTAGTTCCGTGTGTACTAAACCTTTCAAATCCAGCGAACAAAGAAGGTGTGTGCTCTCCCGGAGACCAGAACGAGGGGCTGTTATGAACAAATATGGTTTTCCTGGTCACTGCCACCGACACAGAGCCCATAGTAAGATGGCACTTGAGCTGGGACTGAAGAAACCTAGTAAAACAACCAAGCCAACTTGGAGTTCAAAATCAAATCTACTATGTTAAATTTTTATGATCCTCTAAAAATGAGATATAGAACACCCACAAAGGCCCACACAGACTGTAGGCTATCTAGAAAAACCAAACACTTGCTCAAACGACATTGAGACAGTCCCTAGCCATATGACTACCGAGAAGAGGCAGAAGGCATACTATCAGGATAAAGTTTATATAAGATTAAGAGTAAATCACAAAGGGTGACAAACCGTCGATTTAATTATTATACTGTTCTTTTCTTGTAACTCTGGCAAAGTAGTTTAGAATCCTTTGGCGTCTGTTGAACAGTAAACCAATATTATTTTCAATATAATTTGATAAAGTACATATGATAACTTTTAAAATCAAAGTACAATTTCATTATTTAAACACACACACATAGATGAAGGCCTTGTGGAAATGGTGCTGGAGAAAAATGAACTGTCATGCATAAAGTGTTTACTTGCCGCTAGTGAGTAAGATAACTGTAATAAATTCTACCTCCTAGCCAACTTCTCTGATGAAATAAGCTTATCAGGATGAATATTGCTAAAGATCACATTCCCTGTCTACAGGGTCTAGAAAAAAAGAAAAGAAAAGAAATGAAAAAAAAAAATGTTCCTTTTTTTTTTTTTTTTTTTTTTTTTTAAATGGCAACTATTTGAACACAACAGAGGGGAATCTCCGGATGACAAATTATTCTGGTTCAATGGAAGGTTCAAAAATTTCAGAAGCTCTTCAGGGGCAGTGATGTCCGGATTTTGAAAGTGTGAAGGAACTGGTGACTACATTACTGTCAGAGTAAAATGCTGAGCTATATTTTGGCTCAGTTCCTCCTACAGTAGAGCCAATGAATGACTACATGGCTTTGTGATCATATGAGCACTATAGGGAAGGGACCAAGCTCAATACTACTGAATAAAACTCACATTAAACTCAGCATTTACGATTAGGTACCACTGACTGACTTTCTGTAGTAATATTTATCAGAATGATATTTTTGTCTTCTTGTTTGAATCGTCTTGAGCCCTCCACTGCAATTCAGTGTTTTGTCCTCGTTCTTCCTACTCACTGAGAAAATCCCTCTTCATCACTTCTTCTATACACACCTTCAAAGGCCTTGTTGCTTTCATTAAGTTGGACTTTGAGGACTTAGAGAGTCCTTGTGATGCTTGTGCTTGTGATGGAGAAGTGTTTTCTTTGACTTTCCCAGCCGTGATCATAACAACCTTTGCCCAAATACCACCAAGCCATAACCAAAATCCTCATGGGGCAATTATAAGAAGAGATAAGAAAGGAAGGAAATGAAGGGTGTCTAGAATACACAGGAGCGAATCCCAGAAGCCCTCACTTTACACAGTTCTGACACACAAGGCTTCCATGCAGTGTGACATGTCACAGCTATTGAAGACTGCTGGTGACCAGTCACTGCATGCTTACTTTTCTGTTCATGCACAGACAACCAAGTGCCTGATCAGCCATCTCCTCATCTCCCAGTGATAAGCCCACAGGTCACTCATAATGCATTGCCAAAAGAGGAAAGTAGACGAGAGGGGTGAAAGAGCCAGGAAATGACACTTGTGAACACCGGATGTGAAATTCAAATAAGCAGAGTTACAGAGGAGCTGCTGTGGAAACACTGATACTCCCACCATGGAGAGCTGCTCAAGAGTCAGCCCATCAGCTCAGCGAAGGTGAACTCACTGATGTGGATGAAGACGTCATTCCCAGGACAATGGTGATGTCCCAGGGGATGTGAGTCTGGCAGAGGAACAAACAAAAACAGGAAGAAACAAAAGCAAACTGCAACAACAACAAAAAACATCAAATAAACAAATCCACCACAGAACTCTGAGATGTTTCATGAAATTAAAAGCAGGAAGACGAAATGTTGCAGGCTGAACCAAGAAGGGGGTCTGACAATTGACCAGGGGATGTTTTCTGTGTTCCCAAAATTACAGAGCAAAAACAACAGTGTCATTCGAACAGTACTTCAGACATTTTAAATACTGACTTTTCAGCAGTCTGATTCGTCATTCATGAATTATCCACATTACTGTTATTTTCATTTCCCAGATGCAGTGATCAAAGGGAAATTTTTATATCTTTTGCTATATGTTTTTATTTTTATAAAATGGGTTCTTACTGTGTAGCTCTGCTGTTTGTTTGGTAATGGTAGCCAGGATCACAGGACCGTACCAACAACCCAGCTTGTTTTGACAACATATTTTGAAGGCCAATGTATGACAGTAATTTTCCTGTCTATTATCAAGACTGTTTTTGCAGAGCTCAGCTTCCACGGTCAGGTTCATGGTCATGCGGCTGAGTGCAAAGTAGAGATTATCTGTATAGGTCAAGGGTTAAAGGAAAAGAAAACAACAGATAGCCAGCTTTTTATATATAGCTGGGCCTTAAGCCTGAAAAAAAAAAAACCTAAAAAACTACAGTACTATGCAGCACTTGAAAGCACCTATCAGCCATCTAAATGTAGGAGGAAGTTATGGTATCACAGTGTAGTGAAGAACCCCCAAAATCAGCCAGGAGCCTGTGCTGACTCTGAGTTGATACAAGACAACGGGTTTGTCCTAAGGTTTCTATTGCTGGGACAAACACCATGACCGAAAGCAATGTGTTTAGGGAAGGGTTTCTTTCAGCTTTGAACTCTCGGGCCACGCTCCATCACTGAGGAAAGGTTTTCAGTGTCCTGAGCTTTTCTGTAAATGAACTGTCCTGGAAGGTTTAGGTTTCTTCCTGAAGGGCAAAAGATTCACATGCAGATCCAGAGAGACCCCTGAGAAAAATGCCCTGTGGTCAAGTTCAGACCAGGATGGAAAGTTTAAAAGAACTAGAAATCCAGAAAGGAAAAGTCTTAGATCCGTGTTACCCTGACTGCATAGCCCCACAGGTGGAATAAACCAACAGATAGGATAGCATGTCAGAACCAAGGAGCCTTTTATAGGGTGGAGGGGAATGGTGAGTGACTGAATGATTGATTGATTGACGGAGGGCAAATACAAGTTAGGCAGACATAGCATCTTGACTACACTGACTGACGTATGGTGGCCTCAAAGCCAACAGGCGTGTACACTCACTTCCACACGTCAAACCTTGAGCTCAGGGCCCAGCAGGCCCCAGACGGTGTGTACTGGTGGAATGAGTCAACATCAACATTTTACTCTACTCAAAGTGGTATACCATCCTTCCTGTAGGTAAATTCAAGACAGGCAGACACTCTAGTGGCTAACAGCACTGTCCAAATCCAGGATTACCAGGTAACAGCCTGGTGACTTCAGACAAACTGCTCGTCTCTTATCTTCAAAATAGAAACAACAAGTCCCTGTGGGGAATAAATAGTTTCGGTGGAAAGCACCTGGCACGGTGAGTGACCGCTCCTTAGAGCGAGAGCTCCTCAAGTATTCTGCTGCTATTATGATTCCTTAACTGTAAGTGCGAGGCCAGGCTGAGGGAGCCAACCACAGAGGTTTGTCTTCCACACACCACTCCTACTCTCCCTCAGGCTCCCCACCCCCTGTCTAAGGTGAACTAAAATTAAACACTTCCCTTACGTATTTCTCTAGGTTCATACACACCCTCCTTAAAATGCAACAGGCAAAATAGAAATATCAAAAAAAGAATGTTCAAACTCACTAATACAACACTGACATTCCCCCCCCCGCCCCCACATACGTTAAATTAGCAGGAGGATTTCAGAACTATGGCAGTGTCAGGACCCTGAGATGAATGATGGACATTCTCGCCAGTGGTTGCAGTAATTGACAGGGTGGCTCCGGAACACGTGTTGGCAGAGTCTGTCTGCAGGCTTAAAACACCAGTGCTGTCTGAAAGGTCATACACTTTCATCAAGAGTTTTGCAGTATCAAAATTTGGAAACTTCCTTCATACCATTAGGATGAAAGTTCAATAAAACATTACACAGGCATAGCAGGAGAGTACAAACAGCCATGGCAGCACTCTGAAGACACAGGGACAGAGGAGTGTACCAACAGATAAGCTGCATGAGCCAATTTACAGTTTCCTTTTATAGAAGAAAAACAGCAAAAAACAGAGAGACAGAAAGGGAAGCTGGAAGGTTACTAGAATCCAAAAAAACCCTTATTTCTAGATATGGGGCCAACAGATGGTCTATTTTCTTGATAATTTCTTACAGAATGCATTTCACAGTTAGGAAAAAAAAAATCATTGATCTCATTCTACATAAATATGGCTGGTCATAAAGATTTATTTCTGAGCTTTTCCACTGAAAATGGTGTTGCTGATGATAATGTCATAACCAGAAAACTTCTGTCAACCCAAATTCAACAGCACTGGTGTGAAATTGCTGTGCGATCCTTAAAATGCTGTTTCCTGCCTGAGTCACATGACTCAGCCCTGAAAGCCTGGGTCTGCCAATGTGGCTGAAAGCTTTCCCTAACACCAGTGATTATGGAGCAGGGCCTGAGGCCGTATCAGCCATTTCCTTAAAATAAGAGGCTTACTGAAATTCTCAGATAACTTCCAGCGGTGTCTGCAGTCTTGGGAGTAAGGGCTATGGTGTGTTGACAGTTGCCACCGTCAGCCCTTGTTCCCCTCTCTTTCCATTTAGACACAACCTGGGAGAATTTTTGAAGTCTCTAAACACTTCCAGAGCCTTGCACACTGGGCACAGCTCTTCCAATAAACCGTCAATCATCTCACATCTGTTTTTATGTCTCGCTGAGGGCACACACAGCCTCACATTCCGAGGAAAAGAACCTCATGGACCAGGCGTCCCCTGCGGTAACTAACTGTTCACCTCTCTAAAGGCCACAGAGCACATTTAATGAGCACCATTCTCTCCTTACCTGAAGAGCTGTTTACTGTTCCCTCAGTGACTACGTCAGGGGACTTACAGGGCAGGTGGATCTTACATCTTAAAAGTTTGAACATTTAGTCTGTCACCGTCGACCTTCAATTTCCCTTACTACACTGTGTGGACATACCGAGGAGGTCAGACATATTCCTGGTGAGTTGGCTATCGGCTGGCGTGTGGATACTGCTGGGTCAGAGCCTGACCTAGAATGCAGATGACATTGACCTAGAATGTGATGACAATTCTACGCTACTGATGGCAAGTCAGACACAGCATCAAGATTTGGCTATGCAGCTGTCAAAGCAAGGCCACTGAGCACAGCTCCTTCCATCAGGGGCTGCGGACCTGCACAGCAGGCACAAACAAGGCTTTGTCTACAGACAAGCTCTAACAACGGAAAGGAGTCAGAACATCCTAAGGCCCCAGAGCACAGGATTCTGTCTTTGCACTCAAGTATCCTATGACCATTTGTTTACAAATAAGACAACATTTGTAAATAATCATGTCACAGGACTGAAGGTGTTATCAACATTTCTACTCAACAACCCCCCCTGGAGAAATCTCAAAACACCATCCATAGCAAAACACCTTAAACTTAAACATGAGTTGTGGTAAAATATGGGGGACAACATATGCTTTAAAGAAACTACGAGTAAATTGGTTTTTCTTATTTACCACAGTAACACTTTTCCTACGAGCTAGTTAGAGAGAGAATATCCATGAATAATGACCTAGAACAGTGGTTCTCAACCTTCTAATTCTGGGATACTTTTAATATACCTCCCCCAGCCATAAAATTATTTCACTTATATTTCATAACTGTAATTCTGCTACTGTTGTCAATACTAATCTAAATATCTAATATGCTGAATGTCTGATATACAGTCACCAAGGGTTCTAGAGCCATGGTTCTAGAGCCATGGCCCTAGAAACACCCATTGTATCACCAGAGCGTAAGATAAGTGGAAAAAAAAATGACATTGATGTACTTACTTAAAATACCAAACTTTCCCCAGAACAGGAGTATAGCCAGAATTGGGAAAATAACAATGAGGATCTTTTCGTTTGGAGAAAACCACGAAACTGTGGAGAAAGAAAACAAAAACCATAATTAGTGTTCAGTATACTTACTGCTAACGGTCTCAAATATATCTTTATTCCTCTAGTAGAAGACAGAAATAATTTGAGCTGTGGGCCATGGTTTATACACACATACACAGTGCCAAAACACATCTCATGTATGACTTACTCAGCAACAAATGCTTTGACTGTATGTATGATGTGTGCAGCTGAGTGGAGTCTAGAGGTTAACCAGAGGTTAACGTCTAGTGTCTTTCTCAATATCTTCACACCTTAGTTTTTGAGTCAGGGTCTCTACCAAACCTGAGGATCACTGATTAGAGTAGGTTGTGACCACTGAGCTCTGGGATACAGCTGTCCCTGAGTCTCCAGTGCTAAGCCTCGGCCTTTTGTGTAGATGCTAGGGATCTGAACTCAAACCCTCAAACTTGTACCACAAGCACTTTATCTACTGATCTGGTCCCCAAGTCCCATAAATCCACACATTTTATTTAGGAGTCCCAGAGATCTGGTTACTTGGGTGTGCCTTAGCATACTCCTTTGTCCTGTGTTCTGAGGAAGGGCAGATGGTAGTGGAGAACAGTCTCTGGTTCCACATTGCCAGGTGTGGAAATCAACTCTGACTCAAAACCTGTGTGACTGTAGGCAAGGCCTGACACCTCCTTTCTTCAGTGCCCTTGAGTGACCCAGATTCTGTTTGCTGAAGAACTTCTACTGCTAATGGAGATTATGTATATAAAGGGCATAAGGCAAAGATTGCCGCTTAGCACGTGCCCACTAACTGTGAACTGCAGTTATTGTATGTTTGTTGAATATCTGTGTGTGCGAAGTGCCCGAATAGCCATCAAGGAAGAGTAAGTGTTCCTATAAAGCCTGACTCAGGGGACCAGGTAAAAGAGCTCTCAGGACCACTAGGCCCTTCTGCTTACTGTGACTGTGACCAACATGGGTATTCCTGGCCTTTTCCTGAACTGACCCTTGAAGAGAAGACTAAACTCATAAGCCAAAGACTCCAAAAGGCTAGTTTTATGTAAACATGAGGGACTTTCGGTTATTAAGGAAGCTCTTCCGGTATGTCACAGATCACACAGTGAAAATCTGCCTTACCCCTGCATCCTATCTACATGAAACTTAGAAACTGAGATTCCAAATAAGACTTGTTCAGAACTTTTAAAGTGTTAGGTTTTACTTCAACTGATAATCCCACTGGACTGAAATTTTATGCATGAGATCTGTTTCTCTCTAACAACGAAACCGAGTACACACACTGAAAGAATTTCAAAGTTTGCCTGTACAGAGGTGTGTGCTAGCTGAAGAGCACTTCGGCTCCTGGCTCCTTCCCAAGCAGTCACTGGAATTCCTCTGAGATCAGCTGCATGCATCCCTTCTGCCCTTGCTATCAGTGAGGAAGCTTTCCCCCACAGTGACAGCCATGTGCTTCTTATATTAAGTTTACACACTAAATACTGGTGAAAGTATACTAATCCCTATAATATAACGAAACTGTAAAGTCTATCTTGAAAATAGCAGTGCTTTACAATCTAATGTTCTGCCCTGTGCACGGTAGACACAACACATTTGCTGTTGAAGGTAACAATTATTCCAAAGGAGTGAATGAACAGTGTGCCGGCTGGTTTTATGTCACTTTGACACAAGAAAGAGTCATTTTAGAAAAGGGAACCTCGATTGAGAAAATGCTTCCACTGTATCAGCCCATGGGTGGGCCTGTGGAACATTTTCTTGGTTGATGATTGATATGGGAGGGCCCAGACAACTGTGAGCAGTGCCATGGTGAGGCTGGTGGTCCTGGATACTGTGAGAAGGCAGGCTGAGCAAGGCATGAGGAGCAAGGCAGTAAGCAGTACCCACCCATGGCTTCTGCTCAGTTCTTGACACCAGGTTCCTGACATGAGCTCCTGCTCTGGCTTCCCTCAAAGATGGAAATGAACCCTAGATTGCTTTTGGTCATGGTGTGCTATCATAGCTAGGACAAATGGAATATAAGTTTTTGATGCTCATTGTTGAATATCTCTGAGAGAAATATTCATAGATATTCTGCATCAAGACCTTAATGTCCATCTGTGTAACTGAATATTATCTTAACTTCATGCAACATAAAATCCTAGTAGCAAAGGAATTGGGCAACACTCTGCAAGGATTTGAACAAAACCTTATGATTTAATAAGTATGCTCAATAAATTCATTTTTCTTAATAGAGACCTTCTATTATGCTGCTTTGATCTGTATATGCTAACTACTCATATCTGTATGATGTGTGGAATGATTAACTTAGGGAAAAGGAGGCACCGCGTACTAAGGACCTTCTGTTTTCAAATTCCTAATTCACTTTGATATTCCCACCACCTTAAACCTTCTCACTCAGGCTTCCTCATTCCAGCAGTGGTCACGCTATGGTTTTTTTTTTAAATTTTTGCTTGACTCAAGTTTCATTCATATCCCACAGATGCTTAGACAGAACTGCTAGCTCTTACATTAAAATATAATCGGTATGGGAATCTCATGTTTAACTTGAGCTGAGAATGATGTCCCTTCACTGACCCTTTCCCATAAACACCAGTCTTAGCACACAATAGCAGGAAGCCATTAGCAAAAATATGAGACATTTTCAACTACAGTTGTTTATTCATTTTCAGTTATCCTAGCAGCATTCAAAGAAAGCCCACCTCCTTTCTACAGCAGCAGATTAGCAGTTGGCACTATAGGGGATGCCGACCCTAAGAAGGAACAAAAGCAGAGAACAGGCTCCGGCGGGTTGGTGGTAAGGATGGCTTGGAAAAGACCTCTGTGGAAAGGAACCGCTCTGAGTCTTGTGTGGGAAGGAGCCTGCCACATAGAGACTGAAAAGAGGAGACACCAAAGCAACAGCAGTTAAAGGAGCCAAACGGATGACCTCTGTGGATGGGGCCTAGTGGCACAGACTAGATTGGAGGGGGATATGGAGGCAAGATTTAATTCCAAGATGGCAAGTGATTGAAAGCTCTTGTGATGGAAAGAAGATAACCTGATTTTCTTAACTAATTAATTCTCACGTGTTTGTGTGTGTGTGTGTGTGTGTGTGTGTGTGTGTGTGTGTGTGTGTAGGTCAAATAACGTTTTTCAGAAGTTAGTTCTTTCTTTCTACCATGCGTGTCCGGGGATTGAGCTCATTGCAGTGAGACCTGGATGTGAGTGTCTCTACCTGCTGAGCCATCTTGCTATCTATCTCACACGAAATTAAAATGTCTGCCAGTCCTGCAGGATCACAGGATCACAGACAAGCTGACTTGTCAGAAGTCACAGCCTCAATAATGACAGAGAAAGAGAGAGACATGTGACCAAGAAGAAGCATCCTCGGTTCAGTTTGCCTTGTCCCATTTCAAGTTGAGATAGAGAACTGATCCTAAGGAGGGTGGTAAGAATGAGGGCCTTCGAGCAGAAGCGATGGCTGAGTGAACTGGACTCATCCCCCCATAGACAAGAATAAGCTTGGGAGAGCAGCTACAGTCTGCCCAGCAGGGGACAAATCACAGCACAGAGAGTCCCAGCTGGACTGAAGGAAGACCTGACCCATGATGTCAGGCAGGTCAGGCAGGTCCCTGGGAGGTAACGGTGTCTCTGCACACCAAGCAGCCTGGCAGCAAGCTGGAATGCTCACAAGCAAGCTTCCTGGCACAAGAGAAATGGGGAATGAGTTGCTGCAAGGGGTGATAACTACCCAAGGCCTGGAGAAGAAATAATGAGAAACGGAAGGAGACAGTTCAAAGACTAAAAGAAAGTGATATGCAGCAAAAAAAAAAAAATGCTCTAAGATTCCTAAATAGGAACATATAAGAATCTGCTACAGGTTGATGCAAACTGCACATACTCTGCCCTCATTTTCACACCAAGATGTGTGCATGTTCCCTGGTGGTTAAGTATGCGGGGGAGGAAAGCAAGAGGATGTCTACAATTCTTTGTTAAAAATGACTGTTGCAGATTTCTGTTGGAGTTTAGTTCCTGTCACTAACACGAATGTGTTAACCTTCCCTGATCTGTTATGCTGGGGAAAGGCTGACTCACTAAACTGGACATGTAAAAATCAATTGAGCGGACTCAAGAATCAACTGAGCTGGGCATGGATGGTACAGTTCTATAATATAAACCTTCAGAAGGCTGAGGCAGGAGTATCATGAGTTTAAGGCCAGCCTGAACTATATAGCTAGACCCTGTCAAAAAATGCTAGGGGTAAAATCCCCTGTGTTTTATATAAACCCATTTAGATGTCCATTAAGCCACTGATTTACAGAAGTGTTGTCAGGTGCCATTAACTCCTCCTCCCCAAGGGGAGTGGGAGACAAGGCACTTCTCTAAGATCCATTTCAGCTTTGACTTTCTATGCATTAAGGAAATTAATTAAGCATAAAATGATCTAAGAACAGTGTCTCAGAACTGGGAAAGATACTCCAAGGACATCCGCTCTAGTTCTACCCAAGCTATGGCTGACAACTCTCCCCTACATGCTCCCAGGCTCCCATTCCTCATTAGGAAGATGACACCCAGGTACATGAACTTCTTATTACTAAAAAGACAGAAATGATACAAAGGAGGGTGTGGTCTGTGGAGAGGGGTTTAGCCCTTGCTTCCGACCTGACTGTAGTGACATGCCGGATGTCACTCCTGCAAAACGGGCCTGCCTACAAAGGTGAAGGGACCATTCCTCTTCTTCAAATACATTGCAACACATAATCACATACAGTGTACTAATATTTTCTCTTCTGGCCTGACAATGCTCTCCATAAAAGCCACAGACTATCAAAAGCACCGACACCAGGCACGAGAGACCCACCCTTTGAGTTGTTGGTAAAGGTGGTCCAAGAGACTCCCAAAACATTATAGGCTATTGCTGTTGCTCATGGTTACCTACTAAAGGTGGAAGGTAAGATGTCAGTGCTGAAGACAGCATGAACTTCAGACATAGGACTTAGAGGACCTGAGCTGGATATGGCTTGAACGTCTCCTCCCTG